GTCCCTCTTTCCCTCATGCATATTTCCGTCATTGCAATAACTGTACCATCTAGTAGCTGCTTTTCCTACTAAACTGACTTTTTTGGGCATACAAATTATGTCACATCAGCTGTGCATATCCATGGGAAGGTTTACTTTTGGCAAAGAAGCTAACAGGTAATGTATAGTGTATAAATGGAAGCAAAGTATATTCCTATTTTTATCATTTATTTTTACTTGAAAGTTAGAGACGAGAGACAGGAGACAGAGATCTTCTACCCACTAGTTCACTGCCCAAATTGCAACCACAGTTGGAACTGAGCTGATCCAAAGCCAGGAGCCAGGAATCTTTTTTTTGGTCTCCCACAGGGCGCAGGGGCCCAAGGAATTAGGCCACCCTTTGCTGCTTTCTCAAGCCATAGACAGGAATCTGGATTGGAAGTGGAGCAGCTGGGTGTTGAACTGGGGCCCGTGTGGGATGCTGGCATCATGGGCAGAAGCTTAGCCTACTTGTTCATGGTACCAGCCCTAAAGTGTCCTTTGGTATGCTTCTCTGCATGTGGGTGGTGCTATGGCTTGGATGTGGGATGACGGTTCACGTGTTGGATGATTGGGCCTCCGTGTGGCGAGGCCGAGCTGCTGGAGTCGCCGTGGGGTGGGGCTTGGTGAAGTCACTGCCGACTTACTATGCAGAGGAGGTTAGGGTAGTTCTCACGGGACCCTGTGAGCGCCCGTAGGTGTCAGCTTTTGCGAATGAGTGGGCCTGATCCCTACCCTGTCTCTGGCTTCCTGTCTTACCTTACCATCATTCTCCCAGCACTCCCACCAGGGTGATGCCATCTGCCCTGAGGCCCTCCTCACTACAGCTGGAACAGGTGGGGCTGCCCCTTTGGGATTTTCACCTTCCAAGATCAGATACTTTGCTACAGTCTGTATTTTGAAAATAGGCTTATATAGGGATGGCCTGGCCACTGTCAGGAGAGACCATTTGCAAATGCCACGGGACAATGTCACCTGTGAGACCTCACTGATGGCAATTCCAAAGGAAACTGTCAGCTTACTCACTTCTTGGCATCTGCCCTTAGTGCTTGGTCCTCTAAAAGCAGGCACAGCTGCAAATTAAGCCACACTGGACAACAGGTCACATTGAAGGGGGTACTCCATCATGGCTTTGTATCTGTGCTGTTCACATACCCACCTGCATTTCTCACGATCTTCATGAAGCACTCTAACTGTGCTTGCTATGAGAAGTGAGTTTTGTAATACCAACTGCATAGTTCTGACAATATTTTAAGTTAGACTTATGCCCTCCATTTATGGTGAGGTGAATATGGTGCTTGTGATGGGGCTAAATGACATGATCGGGCTGACGGACAGCTGGCAGGGCACCGCTGGCTCTAAGTCCACCAGGAACGGCTGCGGTGGAGCTTCCAGAGGGGCAACCAGCAGCGTAACACTTGGCCTGCTGAGGAAACCCAGGAGAGTTCGGCCAAGCACCTGTAGTGTCTCCTTCTGTGCATGATATTTGAGTTAGCAAGTAAGCCCGGTAATTAGAGTAATTGTTCTCTAGGGAGTGGTTACGAATGTGACTTAGCAAACGAGTTTGTCATCTCCTGATTTCATCATTTGCAGAAGACACACTCCACCTTTGCGTGCATGTTTCTGCTGCACACATCACTTCCCTCGCAGAGACTTCCTGTTCCTCTCAAAGTGCAAACCCAGAGTCCTTCCCAGAGACGACACACATTTCTGATAGCGTGTGTGAACTCTGTTCTTCCTGCACGTCTGCAGGCATGGGATAGTTTCCTTTCCATTGAGCCTCTAATCTAGATTATTAAGATTAGGTAAACCTATCTTTTTTTTTTTTAAAGATTTATTTTTATTATTTTTTTTTTATTGGAAAGGCAGATATACAGAGAGGAGAGACAGAGAGGAAGATCTTCCGTCCGATGATTCACTCCCCAAGTGAGCGCAACGGCCGATACTATGCCGATCCGAAGCCAGGAGCCTCTTCCGGGTCTCCCACGCGGGTGCAGGTTCCCAAAGCTTTGGGCCGTCCTCGACCGCTTTCCCAGGCCACAGGCAGGGAGCTGGAAGGGAAGCGGGGCTGCTGGGATAGAACCGGCGCCCATATGGGATCCCGGGCGTGCAAGGTGAGGACTTAACCACTTGCGCCACCGCGCTGGGCCCGGTAAACCTATCTTAAAGGCATCATTAAAGTATGTAGGCCAGCCTTGAATGTGTAACTAACTAAAGGAAAAGAAAAAAGATCCCTACTGGGCCCGGCACAGTGGCGCAGTGGTTAAGGTCCTTGCCTTGCAAGCCTGGGATCCCATATGGGTGCCAGTTTTAATTCCGGTGGCCCTGCTTCCCATCCAGCTCCCTGCTTGTGGCCTGGGAAAGCAGTGGAGGACGGCATCGGACGGAGGATCTTCCTCTCTGTATATCCACCTTTCCAATAAAAATAAAATTTTTTCTTAAAAAAAAAAGCTTCCTACCTAAAGTTTATTGATATCCTTTGTTATGGCATGTTCAAACATGTGCTAATTTATGTTTTAAAACCTGATCTAAACATCACAAAAACTGTTTGCCCAAAAACATGAGGAAGAGAAGCACGAACTTTAAAAATGAACAATAGAGGCCCGGAGGCGTGGCCTAGTGGTTAAAGTCCTTTTCTTGAACACACCAGGTTCCCATATGGGCGCAGGGTCTAATCCTGGCAGCCCTGCTTCCCATCCATTTCCCTGCTTGTGGCCTGGAAAAGCAGTGGAGGACGGCCCAAAGGCTTGGGACCCTGCACCCACATGGGAGACCTGGAGGAGGCTCCTGGCTTCACCTCATTTTAATTCTGGCCTTTGCAGCCATTTGGAGAGTGAAGCAGTGGATGGAAAAAGATCTCAGTCTCCTGTCTCTCCTTCTCTCTGTACATCTGCCTTTCCAATAAAAAAGAAAAATCTAAAAAATAAAACCTTAACAGAATGCAGAAAAGAAAGAAAAAAACAAATGTAGCTGATGATGCCAACAAAAACATCTTCAAAAACATGGGAAAAATTTTAAGCAAAAGGGGAGTGAACCAGCAGATTGAAGACCCATCTCTTTGTATCTTCTACGTAAATCTGACTTTTCAATAATAAAAAAAAGTCTGTTAAAAAAATTGGGCCCGGCACTGTGGTCTAGCGGCTAAAGTCCTCGCCTTGAACGCGCCGGGATCCCATATGGGTGCTGGTTCTAGTCCCATCTGCTCCACTTCCCATCCAGCTCCCTGCTTGTGGCCTGGGAAAGCAGTAGAGGATGGCCCAAAGCCTTGGGTCCCTGCACCTGCATGGGAGACCCAGAAGAGCTCTTGGCTCCTGGCTTTGGATTGGTGCAGCTCTAGCCATAGCAGCCACTTGGGAAGTGAATCATCAGACAGAAGATATTTCTCTCTCTCCTCCTCTCTATATATCTGCCTTTCCTATAAAAATAAATGAAAAAAGAAACAGAAAAAGGCAAAAATAATCATAATGCTTTCTGGCCTTAAAAGACCATGCATGCGGCTGCTGCTATGGTGCGGGGGTCCAGCTGCCCCCTGGGCTGCTGCTAGTCTCCGTAGGCACTAGTCCATGTCCTGGATGCCTCACTTCCGCATCCGGCTCCCTGGTCACCCATGCAGGTGGTAGGGGCCACCTCCCACCACTTAGTAGGGAGCTGGACTGGAAGTGCAGAAGCCAGAACTGGAGCTGGCTTCCACATGGGACACCAGCACTGCAGGCAGTGTCTACCTGTGTGTCACAGCACCAGGCACAGTACACAATGTTTCAATGCATTCATGCTGTTTCTATTACACCCTCTCCCTCCTTGTTAAAGTAGCACATGGGATTTGATCCTGCATCCCCTGAGGGGGAAGAGACCAACAGACACATTTCTCATTCACTAGGGAGTATCCCTCTAAGCAGAGCAAATCAGAAGTTCACACCCCTCAACCACCTGCTACTCGGCAGCCAATGTTTCTAGCTTTGTTCCTCATCTGCCAAATGGCATCTCACCATAATTTGGCGGGAAGAAACAGAAGGTGAAGTGTGAGGAGCACCTGTGTGCTATGGTATATTAGTGAAAGACAGTGAGCAGACCGATAATTAAACTCCAGTGGTCTTTTTTTTTTTTTTTAAGATTTATTTATTTTCATTGGAAAGGCAGATTTACAGAGAGGAGACACAGAGAAAATATCACTCTGCAAGTGGCCATAACAGTTGGTGCTGAGCTGATCCAAAGCCAGGAGCCAGGAGCTTCTTCCAGGTCTCGCATGCGGGTGCAGGGTCCCAAGGCTTTGGGCTGTTCTCCACTGCTTTCCTAGGCTATCAGCAGGGAGCTGGAAGGGAAATGGAGCACCCGGGACATGAACCTGCGCCCATATAGGATCCTGGCCTATGCAAGGTGAGGACTTTTAGCCACTAGCTTATTGCTCTTGGCCCTCCAGGGGTCTTTTAGGATAGAGATGAGCATCTATGAGCAATGAGACAGTGAAGGTTTCTGATGTCTGTGACCCCTTTCAATATCTTTGTGCCAACCTGCAAACTGGTGTTCTGTACCTGGGGATGCCCTGCTGGTTCCTGGGGATGCCCTGCTGGTTCCTGGGGATGCCTGGTGGTTTCCTTTCCTAATCCCTGGCCTTTTTCTTGGTCCAGAACCTTGTTTTCCTTACCCCCAAAATGTCAGATGGGGCAAACAGCCAGTGGCTCCATAGGACACATCAACGACTTCTTCCACAGGCGTAGTACACTTCCTGGCATTTCTAACCTAGGCCTCCTGCGAATGCCTTCTATCAGGGGAGTCCAGGCAGCTTGCAGAACTGGGAGAGTAACTGTTTGGAACCCTACGGTGCCATGACACCACGGGCCTGGCACAGGTCATGGCCAAATCCTCTCTCGTTTTATTACACCCAAGGTCTTGAGCAGGTAATTTGCACACCACGCTCATCCCGGCTGCATTATAGTATTAAGAAGGCTGGAATAAGTGAAATAGAATAACAAGAGGATTCCCACCCGCTGGGAGGCAGTTCAAGGTAAAGCTGTTGTGTAAAGACAGGCAGCCGGCCTCCGTAGGCCGCACCTCGGCCCTGCAGCCCAGTGCGGCGGCACACAAGCTTGCTTCCGCTGCCGGCCTATCCGCGAGCGCCGGGGCTTCAGGGCCCAGAGGAGGCCCCGTGAGGAGACCCCTTCGCTCCGGTCCTGCCGGGCCGACGCGCTCGCGACCCGGGTCCACAGAGCTCCGCGCCGGGAAGCCGCTGCGAAGCCCGCTGCCGCTGCTGTAGTCGCAGGGCAGGGCGTGCGCACGGACTGTCGGCCTCAGGCACTGCGGGAGGACCCCGGCTGCGGGGCCGCGGCTCCCCAAAGGGCCTGGGCGCACTCGGGGGGCCCGTCCCGTCACGGCCCGGGCGCACTCGGGGGTCCGTCCCGTCCTGGCCTGGGCGCACTCGGGGGTCCCGCCTGGTTCCGGAGCCTGGGCGCACTCGGAGGGCCCGTCCCGTCCTGGTCCGGGCGCACTCGGGGGTTCCGTCCCGTCACGGCCCGGGCGCACTCGGAGGGCCGTCCCGGCCTGGGCGCACTCGGGGGACCCGTTCCCGTCACGGCCCGGGCGCACTCGGGGGACCCGTCCCCGTCACGGCCTGGGCGCACTCGGGGGGCCCGTCCTGTCACGGCCCGGGCGCACTAGGGGGCCCGCCTGGTTCCGGAGCCCCGGGCGCACTCGAGGTTCCGTCCCGTTCCTGCTCGGGCGCACTCGCGGCGCCCCGACACCCTTTCCCCTACGGGTTCCCGCCAGGGTCAGCTCAAGTGGCCGTGGGGGCGGCAGCGCCCCTAGGCCTCCGGGCCGGCGCCTGCGCGGGCCGTGACTATAGAGACCTGGCGCCTCTCTGGGCTGCGCCTCCACTCTATGGTCCGGCTGGCTCGGTGGCGCTCAGGGAAGAGCCGGGAGGTCGCGTGGCGCATGCGCCGGCCCCTTGCTCTCGCCTTTTTTTTTTTTTTTTTTTTTTTTTTAATCCCCGCACCGAGCGCTCACCTCAGTGGGGCGGAGGAGCGGGCGGCGGCTGCGTGACCCGCGGCGACGGCCGAGGCGGATCGCGGGGCTGTGAGTAGCGGGGCGCGGCGGGGCGCGGCGGCCGGCTTTGTGCGCCCCTCGGCGGGCCGCGCCCGGGGCCGGGCGGGGGTCGCCGAGACAAAGCGGCGCGCGGGTGGCGGGCGGCGGCGGCGGCGGCGGCGGGGTCCCGGGCCCGGCTGGGCCGCGCTGGGCCGCGCTGGGCCGCGCTGGCCTTTGTTGTGCGCCCGAGTGGGCCGAGGGCCGCGCGGACGGAGCGGGCGCCTCAGCCGGCCCGGCCACAATGGAGCGCACCTCGCCCCTCGCTCGGAGCGGCACGGGGCTTTCCAGAGGACGGACTTACGACATCGTTAAAAAGAAATCTTTCTTGTTGTTGTGTCTAAAGCTAAAAAGAAAATGTGAGGGCGTTGCGGCGGGTGGTGAGTTTCTGGGTGCGGGCGCCCGCCCGGGTTCTGCTCCCTGGGGAGGTGGCGGTGCGGAAGCGGCTGCTGCGCCTGCCGGCCTGCACCCGGCCGGGCGCCCGGGGTCGGGATCCGGGGTCGGGATCCGCCCTGCTGGACAGGTCGCGGGCGGGGGGCTCCTTCGGTGCCTGCCCGGGAGGAGGGGGAGAGCGACCGGGTTGCAGAGAGCCTGTCGCCGCCCGCGTTTGCACACGGAGATGGGATGAGCTTGCACCCTTGTAACATTGTGCAGTTGCATCTCTGTGGCAGTTACTCAGGATTGCCTGTGCGCTGCGGGCTTCTGGGCAGCGCTCGTCTTGAGGTTGCCGAAGTTTTGGGCCATATCTTTGGGTTCTCCGGGCCGAGGTTGCCCAAGGTCTGGATTCTTTTGAAGAGGCTGTTGGGCCGGACTTGTGCCCACTCCTGCGTCTTCCCGTGGCCCCTTGAGTGGATGGTCAGATACAAGCAGGCTTGGCTCTTCTCCGAGCTGGCTACTCGGGGCTCCTCTTGTGTCAGACTTCCGAATTCCGCCCTGTTCCAACTTCATTTTTATAAAAGATAAGTATGCTCTCCGCCGATAGCAATCAGAACTCCGAGGCCTCAGTGGCTACTGCAGAATTTTGTCTCCAGAATTGTGTTTGGATGCTGGGAATTTGTTTTTTTTTTTTTATAAGATTTATTTTTATTATTTTTGTTATTGGAAAGGTGGATGTACAGAGAGGAGAGACAGAGAGGAAGATCTTCCGTCCGATGATTCACTCCCCAAGTGAGCCGCAACGGCCGATACTATGCCGATCCGAAGCCAGGAGCCTCTTCCGGGTCTCCCACGCGGGTGCAGGTTCCCAAAGCTTTGGGCCGTCCTCGACCGCTTTCCCAGGCCACAGGCAGGGAGCTGGAAGGGAAGCGGGGCTGCCGGGATTAGAACCGGCGCCCATATGGGATCCCGGGCGTGCAAGGCGAGGACCTTTAACCACTTGCGCCACCGCGCTGGGCCCGGGAATTTGTTTTTTAAGGAGCCAGATTTCAGATCCTTACATAGTGTGGCGTGGATGTGCAGAAGTCACTGGTCGGAACTTCATGCTTACTGCGCACAGTGGGTGTGTTTTGTTCACCCATTAAAAAAAAATTTTTTTTTATCTCCAGTCTGGATAATTCCATATTCTTCAGTTGCTCACAATTGATAAGTTGGGTGATTTTTTGGGTCATAAACTTTATTGTGTGAGCCTCCATTTATTCTTAACAGTTTTGCCTGAAGTGATACCACTTTTAGACTGTGCTACTCTAAATGTGGTATCACTGTTGGTAAGCAGCGGTCTAGGAGACCAGCTGCCTTATGCGAACTCCTGGTTATAAAATAGTGGGAATAGTAGGCAGTTGGAAAAACGTAGCCCGTTTAAAAGCATGGACCGTTCAGCATGTTTTCTGAAGAATGAGGGAAGGGTCTGTTGGTCCTGAAAGCTGACACTGAACAGGATGATTCAGGTTTTGGCTTCTAGAAGGTGATTTTTAAGCATGAGCTAATTGTCCTTTGTGCAGTGGCACCGTGGCAGTCATTCGTAGAGTGTGTGTGCTGCTTCGGGGCCACTGAGTACTGGAGTTCCCTGGTCACCCTGGACTGGCTTGTGTTTAGGCTGCTGGCCCCCACCCCACCCGCCCCGCTGCTCCCCACAGATCCCCACAGATCCCCACAGAGCTAGCTCCCTGCTGCTCTTCTTGGATTCCCTACTGGATGCCCAGCCTTCCTCCTTGTTGAGGTTCACTCCTGCATATGCCTTTTCCGCAGATCCTTGTGGACACAGGGATTCTGCGGAACATGGGAACGTGTTGTGGTCTCCTCTTTGGTGTCCCGAGGCTGCTCCGGGCTGGGCTTCGACTCGCTGCCCAGGTCTGCTGCGTTCCGGGCATCAGCTTTCATCTGCTGGGCTTGGTTGCCAGCGTGCTTTTAGGCTGTACCCAGGCATGTCCCTCCTCTCTTTGCTTACTGACCTTGGCTAGTTGTACTTCCTGAAGCAACGTTCTGTCATTGATGGCCTTCCCTCATTCTCAGGACAGCAGTGGGCGATTCTAGATTTTGGACTTTGTCCACATGGGTACCCTGGGCCCCAGAGGGTACGGTCAAGCAGGCATATGCGGTGCCCACATTGGCCCATCTATCAGGGGAGGCGACCGTGGCACGAGTTTGGTGCTGGTTTGCTTGGTGTATGCTAACAGCTGAATGTCCTCTGTCCTCCCTGGGGTGGTGTGGGCCCACCACGCTCCTCTGCGTTGTCCTGGAAGTGCACTGGTCTGAAGTAAAACAGGCAGCTTGGCTGTGCCTACCAGAGCAGCCAGCCCCTTTTTGGTGGTTGTTATAAAACTATCAGTGGCTTTCAGACTGTGTCTGGATTTTTGGTTCTGCCATCTAGTCTTGTAACTTAGGATGTAATGTAAACTTGTAATGTTTTCATCTGTAAAAGGGTGAGAAGAGGGTGTTGGAAGGATTAAATGACACAGTGTTTCATGCAGATGCAGATGAATGTTTTTTATAGGTTGTATAGATTTAAGAAATAACAACGACCCTCAAAGCATTATTGCCATTAGAATCTCCTTTGCCGGTTGGGTGTGGAGAGGTGGACAGGGAGTCCGGCGTCACTGCCCTGTTGGCCTGCACTCACTGCGGAAGTCCAGGCTGGCTGAAGGGCTGATCTCACAGAGCTGGGCCGGAGGGGCCTCGTGTTCTGTTCACCTGAAAGCATAGCTGCGCACTGCAGTTGTGGTCCGTGAAGTTCCCTGGTCTGTTTGCTGTGCAGATAGCTGCCAGGCCAGATTTCCTCTTTTCCTGTCATGCACACTTGATTGCTTTAAAGGCGGATGGAAGTTCCAGGCTTTATCTTACACAGGCCTCTGGTTGCTGGAGGCTGTTCGAGTGTCCATTGGGTGGACCTGCCCGGCGTCCATCTTGCTGGGGTCAGCGTACTCACTCCCCACCTGTTTGTAGCTGTTGCCCTCTTGGCACTCCCCGAGCAGTTGGATAAACTTGTTTATAGTCTTCCTGTATAATATGACAGTAATACAGAAAGTCAGAGACCAGAAAGGGAAAACCCATGTCGCGCTGTCCCAACAGAAGCTGTTGCTTGCCACGTGTCACCTTTGGAGACTGTGTCCAACAAGTAATTGTAGATCTTTTATGTATTTTATGAGTAGGTGCTTTAAAATTTCATAATATACATAATTTAATTTTTGAGATTTTTGTTGTATTTGAGTAGGCAAATTCTGGCGAACTGCAGTCCTTGACATACCTTTTGTATTTTTTTTTTTGATCTTGTGTGTAATGCTGTAGTCATCTTTGTGTTTTTTTGTAAATACAGTGATGTGGATTACTGGGTGGTAGAATCTTGTATTTATGACTTGACCAAAAGATTGTGCTGGTTAATAATTTCCCCAGCTGTCAGAGGATAAACCTTCATGGAAGTTTTACCAACTTCTGCGAATGTAAGTAAATGCTTTACCACTCCAGGAGGTGTAGATGGCATCTTTTTCTTTATCATCGCGTGTTTTGTGTTGGTTTTACCCCGGCAATCCCGCGGGCTGGTGGTCTGAGGGAGCTGCGTGAAGGTGGCTTGCCTGCCTGTCTGCAGAGGCGGCTTTGGCTGGTCCGCATCTCGGTGTAATCCTAGCACATTTTTAGTGCCCTGTGTTCGAGTGCTTCTTTAAACAGCTGTGGGCTGAACCACCTTGGCAGTCAGAACGTCTTTGGGTAGGGACCTAGGGATCTGCTTCCTTCTTTTTCCAGAAGGTTCTCTTGCGTGCTTCTGAGCTGGTTAAGTTGGAGAGCGGCCTCCCGGGACTCTGTCCTAGCTGATTTTCTTCCTGTGGGTTATGAACGGCTGCTCAGATGTGCTAACAGAGGCCTGTTGTCTGGGGAAGAATCGTCCATGAAGAGGAGCTGGCTCATTCTAGGAACAATCAGCCAGTCTTTCCATGAGAAGTCCAACTGCATTAAAACAGCTTCTTTCCCAAAGTCTGGTGGGAGCAGTGTTTGATTTCAGTGATGAGTTCTGGGCATGCCAGGTGCTGCTCAACCTTTGGTGAGCATCAGGGTGGCAGGCCGTGCTCACCTTAGCGAGCCCACCTGTGCCTGACTCTGGGTTTCTGCCAGGTCTGGCATCATTTAGAGGCGTTGCCGAGGCTTTGTTGTGACCACACAGCTGTATGGGAGCAGCGTTTGCTCCCAGATGCCTCAGCTTCCTTTCTGCTTCCTGCCCGCAGTCGGGAGAGGTCAGCGGGCTGCCCTGGAGGGCTGAGCCATCCTCTGGCTGGATCTGAGCCTGCGCACCAGGCCGGAGGAATGCAGAGCTGGGAACTTCCCGCCAGGCTCTCCGAGAGGTGTAAATCATAGCATGCCATGCAGCTCATTTTAGATTGGAGTGCCTGCCAGGAAGTAGACCCGTGTATCATCCGCTGTAGCAATTTTTCTTATTTCAGTTTTTATTGTGATGAAGTATGTGTAATGTAACACCATTTTAATGACAGTCACACTGCAGTCAGGCTCAGTGCCTCCCCATTAGCCTAGGCGGATGCTCAGTAATGGTTAGGCAGTCACTGGCCTCCCAGCTGCTAGCATCTCCATGAATATGCCAAGTAACTGGATTATTTCCTTAGCATGATTTTTAACAGATTTATTTATTTTATTGGAAAGTTAGATTTAACAGAGAGAAAGAGAGAAAGATCTTCTGTCTGCTGGTTCACTCTCAAGTGACTTCAATGATCAGAGCTGAGTGAATCTGAAGCCAGGAGCCTCCTCAGGGTCTCACATGGGTGCAGGGTCCTTTGCTTTGGGCCATCCTTGACTGCCTTCCCAGGCCACGATAGGGAGCTTGATGGGAAGTGAAGCTGCTGGGATTAGAACCGGCACCCATATAGGATCCC